ATTTTAATCTTATATATAACCAGATTTTCATAATAACATATAACCAGTCATTTTTATTTTTATATAACCAATCATTCTAATTTTTATAACCAGAAATTTTAATTATAATTTTTAACATAATCAGATTGAATGAATATTATTTATTATGTATTAGTTGTTGTTGTAAATTCTTGACATTACGAGTACCTAAGACCGGTTTTATTTCATTTATTAGATACTATAAAGTATTTGTTCCAAAGTGCATAGAATTTAGCCGGAAATGTTTTCATATTTAAATAGTATATAAAATGAATGAACATTGTTTTGCCAAAATCAATTGGAATTTTTTTCTTTTTTATCTAAATCAATTAATTTCTCTCGTAATGTTTTATAATTGCTTGTCGATAATGGCTGCATCAAAATATGTATTTGAAATACTCTGCTGAATTGTTTCTCTGTAAATTCACCAGGATATTTATTTAATAATAAAGTCATTCTTAATTTTTCACGTTCATTTAAATATGTTTCCAATGTTGAACAATACTTAATCGCATGAATTAACATAGCATATGGAATATTCATTTTCATATGTATTGGATGAAAACTATTAAATGGTAAATAATATGGTTCATACGATGGTTTGTGATAAACCTTTGTAAATAATTCACCATTTTTATTTTCTATGCATAAGTCAAGAAAATTTGTTGAATGACCAACTTGAGCTTTTAATTTTATATTCAAGTCTAATTCATTCCATCGATTAATTTGTTTAGAAAGAAAATGAATCGGCCAATTAATAATTATGCATGAAAATATCATCAATATATCGTAAGTAGAGTCCATTATTGCTATTGTTCACTTGTTCAACAATATCTCGTTCATAAAAGAACATATAACATTAGCAATTGTTAATGTTCATGGAGAACCTATAGCACCACCACGTACTTGATAAAAATATTTACCATTGTAAGAAAAATAACTATTTTGTATTACGAATCGACATAATTTAATTATTGTTTCAGCTTTTATATTACCAATTTTTTTTATTTTAAAATAATCTAATAGTTTTTTAATTGACATTATACCTTCTGTTTGGGGTATCATCGAATAAAGATCCATAAAATTCATTGTACATATTAAGGTTTCTTGACGTATGTTTCGTTTTGACCAATCATGTAATTGTTTAACAACTTCAGTAACACAAGTAACAGTTGTATTTGACGCCATTTTATTAAATAATAGTCGAAGTAATTCGTCGAGAAATTTTGATTTATTTTAGTTGGATAGTTTTAGACCAGAAACAATTGGACGAAGTGGAGTACCACGTTCGTGAGCTTTTGGTAAATAATAAAGATGTGCTAATTCCACTTCATTTGATTTAATGCTTAATCGTTCATATTATTTCTGTGTAATTCAATTTGTTAATCTTAAATTTAATAAATATTTATTTATCCGGTCAATTAAACTTGGTAATGGATCATTCTGGTGTAAACATTTATCTGCTTCAGTTTTTTCCATATATTCATCAGATTTTTTGTGATAATCTTGTAATTTATCTAAATGAAAAACTTTAGATTTATCTGATTTTTGAAGAACTATACTAGTTGAACGAAGCTTGTGTTTTAACCGTTTGACCAATCTACCATAATTTTTCTTTTTTACAGTAATAATTGGACATTTAGTAATTTGATATTGATTCAATTGAATTGTTTCTAATAAATTATCATATGAAATTATTTCACGTTGTTGTTTATATTTTCGATTTATTTTACTAATAGGTGTATCATGTAAATTTTTTAATAAAACATCCAATTCGGCTATAAATTGTTCGACTGATCGACCAGGGCTCACTTTTTTTTCGAAAAATTGTGCTTCAATTTTACGTTTTAACATAGCCAACTCAGTTGTACATCGTCGAGAAGCCGTTTGTGGATCATTATAAATAAACCGAGAACCTAATTTTAATAATTGATATTCTTCCTCGGTTAATTTTGCTTGTGCTTCATTAATTATAGTTGGAGCGAGAAATCCTCTTCCAACGATCGTGTGAGAGTCGGGGCCACAATTTCTTCTTGCTCGTTGACTTCGTCCTCGACTCGCTGTTCTTCTAAAAAATAGATCGATTGTTCGGCTTCGAAATTAAAACCTTTTTCACGTAATTCATTATAATGTTTAAATGCTATATAACCAGCATCAGGTTCAATATCAAATCCTTCATTATTTTCTTGTAAAAAAATCTTTCATAACAAATTAAATTTCATTTTTTAATATTTGTTTTTCACGAGCTATTGCTTGTAAAATATAAAGACATTGCTTGAAAACGATATTCTTTAGTTAATTGATGCATTTGATCATATACTATTTGAGCTTCTTCTTTACTAATTATTGATTCATCAATTTTAAATGTAAGATTAGCATTTGAAATAAATTTTGGAGGTAAATCATATTCTACACGTTTGGTAGCTGTAAGATAATTTGTATTTTTTGTACTCCATTGTTTCATTTTTGGTTTTAACATCAAATCAATATTTCATTGATTTGAAGTAGCTATTTTTTTGAAATCTTCTAATACTTTATATTCTTCTATTTGTACTTGTGCTAATCTAATTTTATTTTATTTTCAGTCATGCTTTTTACATGTTGTATACAATGTTGAATATATTTTAAAATTGCTTTTCCCAGTCGATCAACTGCATCACGAATTCGACCAGTATTTGCTGGTGCTGATGAAGTTGTTGCAGTTATTGGATTTATTGCACCAGCTGTAGTTTGAGTCCAATAAGTACTTAATTGAACTTGTAGGTTCGTGATTGTAGCACTCGCTTGAGCTATATTACTTGTTACTCGATTGATCCTTTTTCTTGATAAATCGACTATTTCTTACATCATTACGTTTTTTTGTACATGTAATGACTTCTTTTGCCCAATGTTTATCTTGTGTGCCCATTTTAAAATATGTTTGCCAAACTTGAAGTTCATAATTATTTCGAACCCATTCATCATATATTGGACCTGTAGCTAATATATAAGCTTGATTACCACGACCATCAACAATAACTGATGAATTATCTTGCATGTAACGCATTATTCGATTGGATTCTAAATTAATTCGTCGTTTAAGTTTTTTATTATTATTTTTATCATTTATTCGATTCATTTTGTTTTGTTTCA